ACAGGACACACAGCTCTCTGACTGCTTGTTCTACAGGAACCACTTTGTGCTTCTGGTGGAGAGAAAACTCACAGACAGGACACACAGCTCTCTGACTGCTTGTTCTACAGGAACCACTTTGTGCTTCTGGTGGAGAGAAAACTCACAGACAGGACACACAGCTCTCTGCTCGTCTTCACAGAACCAATAAGGAACGTCTGAGTGTTTCTCACACACCACCTCCTTTTTCTTTTTCTTATCTTCGTCCATCTCAGCTGAGCTGTTAGTCTGCATCTTAGCAAATGAATCAGCCAGTTCTTTGAGGGCCATGTTAACAGACTGATGTTCCTTTGAGGCTCTTCTTCTACAAACAGGACAGTTCTTGTTTCCAGTTTGTTCCCAGAACTTCTGCAGGCAGCTTGAACAGAAGCTGTGGCTGCAGCTCAGAGACACAGGATCTTTGAAAGTCTCTGAACAAACATGGCAGCTCAGGAAACTTCCCAAGAGATCGTTTTTCTCTGCCATTTTTTAATCTTCTTTTTTTATGATCAGTGTATAAAAAATAGTATACAGACTTACGAACCTCTTCCTGTGTGTTCTTCAGTAAAGATCCCTTGTCGGTTTAAAACTTTCAGTTTCGTTTCCTTGATTCTGGGTGGGGCTGACTGAAACAAAACTGATGTTTGACAAAGCCACCTTTAGATGGTGCTGTTCCCTTCTTGTAAATGTTCAAGGACTTATTTACCATATTGGCCTTAAAAACATATCAGCTTAAAAAAAAGGTACGTGAAAAAGTGCAGACAGGGCAGAATAAGACTATTTTTAATTACAATTTTTTTAAATAATACATTGTTCCTTTAAAGTAGACATATTATGCCTTTAAATCCTTTTTCCCCCACATTTAAATCATTTAGTTGGGGTCTTTATAAAGTGGAACTACAAAGCTTTGGTCTGAATTCCTGCTTATTTTAACTTTACCAGCCCCTCTTTTACTGCTTTTGTCTCAAAGCAGCTGAATTTGTTACCATTTCTTTAAGACACTTCAAGCCCCGCCCCCCTCCTAATTCCAGACCGGTCCACTCCAGTTTGAAAGCAGGGGTTAAATTTTCTAGCTTGTAGAAATGTTTTATTTACAATTTTTAAAAAGACGTCAACAACAGAAGACTTACATGTTGGAGTCAGAGTCTGACCCAGAATCAGAGGAGAATAATGACGAGGAGATTGTAGTCCATAAATCCAATCTTTATATGGTAATTCCGTCCCAGATAATTTGACATAATATTTCAGAAAACGTCTTAGAAAATAGAGAAAACTGAACAGTTTGAAAAATATGACTCAAACAGAATATAAAGATATCTTTGCAGCACCAGGAGAGACTAAATTCAACTTTTCTGCTCCTAGAGACTCCAAGTCCACAACAAAATGTATTTAACAGCTAAAAAAGTGGATTTTGCATCATTTGTCCCCTTTAAAAAATAACGTATAGTTCTAGTTAACAAAAAAAATCATCTAAAGATCAGGCAAATATCTCATATTGATTCCCCTTTAGTACAATCAAGTGTAGTTTATGCAAAGTATTAATAAATAGGCAAAAACATGTTTTGATTAGAAGCACTCGGAGAGTGCAAACCTCCGCCAAGACCAATTTCCCCCATCCTGCAATGGAGTATTTCACAGATACTGCCATCTCTGCCTAATGCAAAGCATCATGGTCCAGTTTGGGGGCAGATTTCTATTCTGTGTTCTAAGCTATAGACCTTCATGAAGCTCTAAAGCTCCCACTCCAAATATTTTCAACTGACAAAGCCTCCCTGATGGGAAGAGAAACATCTAGTTTCAAAATAGAAGTCCAGTTATATACTGTATATAGCTTAAAAATATTGATTTATTCAATGCCTCTAACCCCAAGAAAAGGTTCATCCTGATATTGAGGACATTTATTTTATACTAGCTGTCTTTTTCAGATGAACAATTTAAAGTTTTTTTAAGCAAAATATATATTCATATTTTTAATTCTTTTTTTTAAACTTTTATATTTATAAGGTTCTACTAATCTTATATAGCTGGGAAATATTTAAATAAGCACAAAGCTTGGGACTCAAGAGTTTAAAACTGGTGGGGCACAGCCCCCCGTGGCCTTGTTGTGCCCCTAGTGACTGACAGTGATGTTCCACAGTGAAATGATGAGCTGGAGCACCGCGCATCTCTGTTAGATCTAGCGGGAAGACTTTTCAAATTCGTCTTCTGAGGTATTAGTAGCCGAACCTGGTACCGGCCCACGAGCTGAACCACCGATCCCCCGCCCGTCGTCTGCGCGCGGTGGTTCACTCCAGCCTGTGGACCGGTTCACGGACTGAACCACCGGCCCAGACGCAGATCAGAGGGTTGGTGGTTCAGCCCGTGAACCGGTACCAGGTTCGGCTCGGTTGCGCCCGCATCTTCTCTGTTATTCACGTAACGTAGCAGCACGTTCCTGAAGTTCTGCGCAGGGCTGGGAGAGCTCGCAACTTCTGTCTGATTCGCTCGAATTAAAAGAAATAATCCTGTGTCCGCATCGTGATCCGAAACATTACCAAAATTTAATGGTGTGTTACGTGTGCTAGTATGAACATGTGTTGTAAATAACATGACAATCCGTCCACAAGTTTTTGAGTTATGCTGTCCACAGACAGACTGACCGACAGACATGCGCGACCGAAAACATTACCTCCTCGGCGGAGGTAATAAATCATCAAACTGTTGAGTCAGTCTGCCTCATCATCATGGTCTTATTTTCAGAAAACTTCTTGTAGAATGAAAATGTAATAAAGATCTTGAAATGTTTTTATGTTTTGAAGCATCGTCCACACTGTAAAATAAAGAAGGGGTGAAGTAATCCTGACAGAGTAATGACTCCAGAGTAGAAACATCTTGATCCCAACAGAACAGGCTGTCTCAAGGCTCCTCGTTCTAAGTAAAGGTTTCAGAGTCAATTAGCAGTGCGGGGTCCTTAGAAACACAGTATTATTAGAAACAAACAGAGGCTGGTTCTGAAACAACACCTGACAAAAGTAAACTTAAAGCTTGTAGTAATTAGGAGCAGCACCCAGGGAAGGATTACTGCAGTTTAAGATAGCTGTTTCACCTACAAATAAATCCCCAGCAGGTTTATGACTCTCAGGTCTAAAGGGACACAACGTGACAGAGATCACACCATAAGACCCACTTCACACATGAACCCTTTATATAAATGAACAAACATTAAAGAATTATCATTTAACAAAAGAAGAGATTCTAAATACATATTTGTAATATGATTTGTGTGATCCATGTTTCAAACGGGTGTATCTGTTCACAGTTACAGTTAAATTCAGTTAGCAGGACAGGGTAGATGAGTATGTCATTAAGTGTCTGATGACAGGGCAGAACGCCAGAACTTTTGTCTGAACATCTCCTCCCTCACTGATCCCTAATTAAACAGAACAACAAGCATCTTCCTTTTTACACAAACCACATTATTTACCTTATTGAGCGTCTCGTTTTTCTATTACGCACCATCTGAGGGCACAGGTGACCTTGGTAACTCTAATGGAAACCATCAATTCAATTAGCGAGGTTAGCCAACGCTCTTTTTTCTTACATTACATCTAAAATCCAGAAGCACAGTTTTCAGGCCGTGCCAGATGGTTGCCAACATTCGTATTTACCCCCCGACAAAACCTTGACACGGCTCCATCCCTTCCATTAACAAACAGACACTAAATTGGAAGTTAATACAAATAACAGAGTGATGTTTGTAATGAATAAGATAATCATGAGCAAGAGGTGAATTATTGGCTGTGCTCACAACAGATATGACTCTAAAAAACACAGATAGGTTTAATAAACAGTGGATTTTTTTGTTCTGAGAAAAGTTTAGCATGAAGCTACAGAAACTTTGTAATAAGTAAACAATAAACATCATTTTCAATGGGTAAGCTCACCTTAACTGATGTCTGGACTGTGTGTATGAATGGATGAATTATTGAATTGTAAAGAGCATTAGAGTCCGACGGGACTTGATAAAATGCTGAAAAAGTTCAGGCCATTTACCATTTACCAAACATGGTTACATTTATCATGTTTTTTTTAGTTTTCGTTCTTCTGAGATTCTAAAATAATTGGGTATCATAAAAATAAGGACTAAAATTTATCTTGTAGATTTTTTTTAAATTACGGTAAAGAAACTTATGCATATTTTTAATATCTACCGTAAAATTTAGGGCTGTGTATTGGCAAGAATTTGGCGATACGATACATATCATGACAGAGGGGTCACRATACGATATRTCCCGATATATTACGATACTATAAGCAAGGCGATATATTGCGATTTTTTTGTCCAAAAATTCTATTAAATAAAAACCTCTTACTGGAAAAAAATGAAAAACCAAAATTCATTGTCTCAGAAAATTCTAATATTACATAGACATACTTTTGATACATTTAGCTGTGTTCTGCTTTGTATGTGTTTTATTTTATTTGTTTCATATTTCTTATTTCATCCGTTTTCAATTATTAGACTAAATTTGACAATAAATAGTTTGAAAATATATTTTTGCCGCTTTTAGTTTTTAATATTAATTTACAATATGGTCACCCAACACTTAACAACAGCCTCTACCTCAAGAGGTAGAGGAGCCAAATGGCTGGCTCACTGCTGCCAACTAGTGGTCAGAGGCTGAACTACAACATAAAAATGAACGGCTTGGCAGGAAAGTTGACATTTTAAACCTTAATGAAAAAAATCGATACAGGGCTTTAGAATATCGATACAGTATCGGGAAATGAAATATTGCGATACTTCAGTGTATCGATATTTTCTTACACCCCTAGTAAAATTTAATATCTACCGTAAATTTGTCATTTGTGTTGATTTAAAATGAAATTATGACTGTCAGTGTTACTATAAATTAGTTTGAAGGAACGGAGTACTTCAATCCAGGGTATAAGATTATGAAATAATCTGGAGGATGACATTAAAAATGCCAGATCAATGTGTATATTTAAGAGAATGATAAAGGTTAAATTGCTGGAGAAATATGTAAATGTATAACGTATGAATTGTTGCTCAGGCAAGAGTTAAACCTTTATTATTTTTTCTCTTTTTTGTTTTTGTAATCTGAAGATTATTTTTGATTGAATTCATTTATTTGAGAAAAAGGGGCAGATATAATAAGATTTTTTCTCCTTCTGCTACCTTTCATTTAATTTATGATTTGTATTTTTGTTGTATGTTGAATTTATGTTGTTTTTTTAAAGAAATTAATAAACTTAACTAACTAATAAAAATGTTATAACTAACTGTTTACATCAACAGGTTTCAGTTCTGCAGACACTTCTGGGCAGGGCTGCACGATATTAGGAAAACCTGGGATGTACAATAACAGTGCTTAATATTGTGATGATGATATGACTAATAAACAAATACATAAGTATGTGGTGTTGAAGTCTTTCTGCTCTGGGTTCAGAGCAAAAAAAATCATTTTCATTCCAGCAAGAATTTTAAAAAAATATGAAGAAATCTATCCAATTGGCGAAATACATAAAGGGCTCCATATGATTAGTGAAATATTTTTAGCTTCCGTCTGAGTGACAAAACTGCATAAATGTAAACTTTTAAGCCAACCGTTTTTTGCAGTTGATGCAGTTTTTTGCCATATGCTTAAAGAACAAGCTGTTATCAGGATGACGATAAATTTTCAATGTATTGTGCAGCCCTACTTCTGGGTCAAACTATTGATGATCATAGCTGGTTTTTTTTTTTTTTTTTTTTTGGTATATGTAAAATACTTTTTTGTATGTCAATGTTTAAAGCTGTAAACTGAGCTCACCTTGTTGCCTCCATCATGCATGGCCCAGCCAGTACGCTTCACCCCAAAAGCAGCGAGCGAGCTGGAGGCGTCCAGGCAGGTGACGGGATGACCGTAGACGGAGTGGAGCGTCTGTGGCTGCTCCTCTCCGGGCTTCAACAAGCAGACATCTTCTCCAGCTGCTAAAACCACCAGCGGGGTCTGATCTGCTCTGTCTGGGACCAAAACGAGGCTCTCCACCTGCCGAAGCAAGAAACATCAACAATACAGGATGTTTTGCTCTGCTAATATTTTCAGAACTTTATGCATCAAATGCATCTTATTCAGAATGTACACTGGAATATTTTTTTAAAGGGGACCTATTATGCAAAATTCACTTTTTAAAGGTTTTTTTTAACTCAACTTTGGGTATGTACTTCTTAAAAAAACAGTCCTAGGACCAGAAAAATGCACCCAGGCGCATATTTACTGTAAGTAAATGTATTTTTAATGTATATTAATGACAAGTTTTATACTTCCGTCATTTTGTGATTCAATTCAATTCAAAAATACTTTATTGATCCCAGAGGGAAATTAGGTAATGTGATGTAGGATTTTGTGATGTGATTTAGGTGATGTCACAAGCCGTACGACAACCCACCGGAACCTGCGTTCAGCACCTCACCTAGCAACCCCCAGGTGAGACTCCTCCTCCTCAGTATAAAAAACCGTCACCGTGTTGTTGTGCAATGCACAGCTCATTTCCCAACAAGCCTTCAATAGGGCAATGGGTAGAGTGTTGGATCAGAGAGTGGGAGACCAGGATTCGAGACCGACATGGACACAATTTAATTATTTATTTTCATTCGTTATGAACACGTTTTCTCATGTACCTCTATTGTTTAGCTTATTAAAGCCTTGTTAAAGCCTATTTGTTCGAATTTCTGAGGTATTTTGACCGCTGCTGCTCCCTGCTCTGGTAACAGCATGCAGAGTGAGCGCAGAGCAGAGGAGGGAGAGGAAAAAAGAAGCTGTGACCACGACTCTACCTCTGGGTCTGACTCAGGGTCTCATATGGTTGTACAACGGAGCTTCTGCTAATATTAGCCATGCTAACGTAAACGCTGGCTTTGGAGGGTGGAGTTAATGTCAACATATTTTTGGAGGGCGTTACCAACAGAGCTCATTAACATAAACAGCTCTTCTGAACGGAAGTCAGAGCAGGCAGAACTAGAGAATGGGAAATTTTATTATCAGAGAATCATTTTGTGCATTAAATTGAATGAACATGGTCTGGATAGCCCACAGATATACCATAAACATTTCTAGGACCCATAATTGGTCTCCTTTAAATTGGTTTTATGAAACTTTGATCAAAAACCAAACTCACTGAATTTACAATAACATAACTCTGAAAAGCACAAACCAATCACAATCTTTGTGACATTGCAGTAACTTACTGGTGTCTCACTTACAGTTTTGGGTAGATGAGTCTGGCAGACGGTCCTCCAGTAGCCGCAGTCGTTGACACTGTCCAGCCGAACGTCTGAGCCGCTGGCGGACGCCAGGACGGGACTGTCTGGACTCAGAGCCAAAGCCTGGATTCTCCCTGGGACCTGGTAGTGGTGGATGGGTGCCCCGCCTGTCTCTGTGCTCCACAGGTCTATGCAGCCTACACGCAAACACAACATTTTAATGAAAGCATGCTGATCTGTTCCTGCCTGGAAATAACAGGAAAAGAACTTTACAGACATCAAACAAACAGTTTGCCATGAGAAATCAACCTACCATCTTCATACGCAGCAGCAGCCACAGTGTTGTTGACCTGGACGTTACTAACATGAGGTCTGGGCTCGGTGTTAGCCGACAGGCTGTTAGTTTTCAGGTAAGAGGCTGTCGAGTCCCAATGCAATGTGTCCCAGAGCCTCACATCGCCCGACGTGTACCTTAAATCCAAACAGCAGAAGAGTTTTTGTTTATTTTTATCCCCACCCTAAAAAGTTTTCCTCTCAGTCGAGTCATTTCCGTTCTCACACTTTCCTCTGACTTACGCTGTTTTCTATTATCATGTTAACATGATCTTTTGAGGATTACGGTGGTGTTGTTTGGGCGAAATGACGCCAAACATTACAAACTGCTCTCAATGTAAAGTTAAATAAAGCTTCAACTTTGATTGACTAAATATCAGAGGAGTCTGAGTTGTGTTGTTTAGAATGGGCCTTAAAATAAATCTGTCCTTTGAACATATAAAAATCCCCACTGTGAAGAAGAGAAAATAAACAAAATTTCCATTGCAGTCTCACTAAATTCTGTCTGCAAACAAGTGACCAGCTATGGAGGTCATTTTGTTTTGTTTTTTACTATTCAATCAAACGAAAAAAGCNTATATATATATATCACAGGGCTGAGCATGAGCAGTTTGTGAGAGGGGAATGTGTTGTAGTACACCACTGGGTGACCATGTCTGAGATTTAAACAGACAGGCTTCAAACTATTGTTTGTTTACATAGATACCTGCACTTAAATCAGCGTCATCATGTGGGTAGATTGGTCACTGTACGCTCAAGCTAGTGGCACAAAAGTAATGCCATGGTACAGCTATTTAATGGAACATCAAGTTGTAAATGACCAGACTATCCTTACATCAAATCCTTGCAGTCATTTCATGCTGTCATTTTTGCACCTATTCATCATAAAGTTGACTGAAATCTATTGCTGAAATTGCACTTTAACACATTTTTTTATGTTTGAAAAAGAAGAAAAGCATGATGATTCTACTATAATATAGGTTTGGGTTTGTTAACACTTTATAAATGTTAGATATTTTGAAATAGTTTTCCTTAAAGGGGAACAACAAATCATCAATGCTACACACTAGTCAAAATGAAAGGTGTTTAAACCTAACTTTAAAACATTACTGGTGTCTTTGTAACATTAAATGTAACTTTTCTGAGTTGAAAATTTCTGAATTTCAGATCCTGTCTACTAGGTCAAGTAGTGTGTTTTACTTTGTTTCAGAAAAAAATGCGGTACCTCAAACTGCATACTTCTCAAACAAAAAGAAAGCATTTGACCTTAAGTTATGAACAGGAATCATGTCTATTGGTTAAACTCCATGGCTTTTCAGACACTGAGTGAATGTGTCTGAATGTAAAAAGGCCTTTATTTCTTGAATCTTCAAACATTTATGAACAGCCTTTCTCTAAGATGAAGTGCAGTTTTGTTTTGTATGAGTGAGTGTCATGGCTTAAGATACTGGGCTGGATTCTTTAGGCCTTGGGAATGTTTTGCGCATTTAATTCCTTTTTAAAAGCTTAAGCTCAGTAAATTCGCTGTTGTTTACATTTATTTTTATTTTGTTCTTTATTATAACAAGATTTTTGTGTATTTTTTCCCTTTGGAGAAAAAGTCTGGAGAAAAAGCTCTGGCTAAAGTAAAGGAAAGCATCAGATGATTAAAACAGCTTCTTTCTATATTGTCTTAAAACGTTAGCTGAATACGACACTTTTGTATTTCTTTGTAAATTATTTATGTGTACCAGTATTCATTAGCTTTTTTTCTGTCTTCTTTGGACCAACTTTATTAATTATTCAAAGTCTGTGTGGAATAAATCATTGAACATTTAAGTTTTTTTGATGTGTGGGAAAACTGAAATAGGTTGTTTTAATTTTTTAGCTAAAGCTTTTTTTAATATCTAATCTTATTTGCACTTCTTTATTATCTCAAAGTATTTTTGTATCCAATTCTTTTTTAACACTTTACAAGCTGAGATTACAACAAAACATAAAGCAGCAAGTAAATAAATTTGGTCTTGTGAATTCAAATACAAGATTTTTCTGATATGAATGGTGTTTGGGTACCACAAATGTGTCTTTTTCCTTCAAACAAGGAATTTACCACCGTGCTGGGATCCTCTTGGTATGTTTGGTTAGTAAGCCTACAGAGGGCCTCAGCTGTTGCTGCCACAGTAATGCTTGGAGGCACTCACTTTCAGTGCCATCAAACATGTAGCTGTACAATATGTGGCGGGGGGGGGGAAGGGGCAAAATTTCTGTGCACACCTTTACCCCAAGTCCCACACAGCATAAAACTGTATCACAAATATGGAACATTTTACTGATGTTTTAAGGTGCAGACAGATGTAATTTTATTTATTTATTTATTTATTTATTTATTTATTTATTTATTTATTTATTTATTGTGGGTGGGAGGGTTGAATTTTTTTGTTGTTGTTTTTGTTTTTTTATTTTTGGAAGGGGGGAGTTGAAACTGCTTTTTTGTTTGATTGAATAATTAAAAAACAAAGTTATCTCCACAACCAAGGAGCTTTGTGGTTGGGTTTTGCATGAGTCCCTGACACATGCTAACAAGACAAACACTCAAACCCTTAATTTAAAAAGTATATCGCAAAGTATTATAATACATCATACATGTATCACATGACAAATATAGGCATATTGTATGAGATTAAAAACACTCGTCAACATAGTAACTGCTCAGTCTTGCTCAAGTGAATAAAAACATTGGTAAAAAAAAAACTGATGTGTGGAAGGTTAGAAAGTGAGAACAAGTCAAAATAAGGAATATAGGAGCAACTCTGAACTTTTTTCTCAGCTGCCCCATGTTTATGATTCACTTTTAAAAATGAATTTAGGCAGATCTGGACTATTTTAAAAGGGTTATTGTTTATAATGAGTTTGTTTTTTAGACCTACAGCCCACTGAGGTCTTTGGCCAGATTAGCATTCAGCCGAATATGACTATGTTCCTTTAAACACTATGAGAACCTGTGAAAACAATCTGTTTGTGTTAACTACACAACACAAACAACTGCAAAACAATCGCAAACTTCCAAGAACAAACTGCAGAATCGGCCAACTGGACAGTTAGTTTAAAAAAAGTGTTCACAACTTTCCTACACTTGGGACAAACATTGCACTCACAACAAGTGTGATTCCATCACGATTCTTCGAAATGTCAAAAAACAAAGCTTTTTTGTTGCCGTCCTTTTTTTTATACCCCTCTCACAAACAAAGCAGGCCTTCTCACTGTGAAGACCTCCGTACTGAACTCCACACTCTTCCTCTCTTTAGCTCCTCACCCCCAGTTAATCAGCTCGCACCGCAGGAGGCCAACTGCCACCTCCACAGATGCAGCCGTGCCTGAGCAAGTATCCGCCCCGGAGCCGCGATGTGTCACACAGCAACAGCATGTTTGACACAGGGTGTACATGTGAGCGAAGGGTTTGGCAGGGAGGAGAAGGATGCAAAGTGCACACTTTCGGATTAATTGGAGCAGAACCGCAAAGCCAGCTACCCGACGGGGTGAATGACGCCGAATCTCATCCAAGCAACTCGTCGAAAACTTTGAAGCAGAAATAACTTTCGGTGCAAGCCTCAGCAAATCTGGTCTTTGTGCGACTGTGACAGAGTGTTCAGATAACAGGACCGCTCCTCCAAATCACATTCCACTGCTCTCCTTATAAGATTTTTGTGGACCCAATTGAATCACTCGAGTACTCTAACATTGATTCTCTTCCAAACAAAAGCCCAAGTCTCACTTAACTGAATTGATCCCTGAACACCAATAATGGGAAAAGTATTGACATCGTGAATTTGTTAATAGCATGTGCCTAAAACTGGATTTGACTGTGAGCTCATGGCGTGTCTAATGTCCGGAATGTTTTGCTGCTGTGTGTGTGTCTGCTCATTTGGAACTATACAAACAGACAGCGCTCTCCAGTGGGATGCATGAAGACTAATGGGGATACGGCAGGACTAAATGGGAATCTAGTCATGTCTCTCCCAGGAGACGCTGCACAACTCCTTAAGGGGAGGTCAGTGGAGTCCATAAGGTCCTTCAAAATGTATCACTGTCTTGGTACAGCTAGTTAAAGGCAGGCTTAATTAGCTTCAGCAGCAGTTTACGTCCTCCTTCAACCAGCTAGGCACTATGTTTTTTTTTACTTTAAATAAAAGTTTCAAGCTATAATAAACAGCAAATATAGCTGCTCCAAAGCTGTGGAACAGTCTACTTAATATTCAGTCTGCTGAGACTGTTGAGGATTTTTAAATATCCCACTTTTATGGTTTTTACGTTTGAGATTCAGTTAGAGCTGATGTCTTTTTCTTATAGTGTGTTTCTGTATTTTATTTGTATCCATTTATTTGTTTTGTTTTTGATACAAGTCTTTGACTGGACTGTAAAGCACTTTGGTCAGCTTTTGATGTTTTTAATGTGCTATAAAAATGAATTGACGTCGACTTTTTTAAGTCGCACTCACATATTTACATGTCTTCAGATGCCAAATTTCTGGCTATAAGATGGAGGTCATTTTG